TGACTGAAATATTGTGCTGAACACTGGAATTTGACACAACACTGTAAAATGAGTATGAATCAATAAAAAATGTAAAAAAAAAAAAGGCACAGAGAGGTTAAATACTTGTTTAACACCTTACAACTAGTAAGAGGAAGAGCTGAGCTTTGAGCCCGGTCAGTGCAGTTCTAGCTAATACTCTCAGCCTGACCAACACACTAGACTGCTTTTCTAGCAGTGCTGGGCTGAGTGTAGGTGTGTGACTTATGTTGGGTGGGAGGTTGGATGGATTAAACCTCTTTCAACTGAAGATCCTATGATGTTTATTGAGCCCTAACTGTATTAAAAAGAATGTGCAGTAACTATAGTAAAAATAACTACCGTTTTCCAGTACCTACAGGAGTTTTATATAAACCCGTGGTCCTTAACTCTGATTCTTATCCTTGGCTGCAGAAAAGAATTATGTAGAGAGTGAGACCCTGAGAATGGTATGTTGTAAAAAGTTTTCCAACTGATTCTAAAGTGCAGCCACAGTTGAGAACTATGGGTATAAGATCTCATTTAGTACTTACAATAACTCTGCCAGATGACTTATTATGATTTTACATATAAAAGGACTAACACATTAAGGGATGCTGGGGCTTGGCCCTTGGCCAACTTAACCTTTTTTCCTTGGAGAAACTGGGATGTGAACCCAAGTGTCTGTGGCATCAAAGCCTCATCAGGTTACAATACACCTTCCCAACCCCTTCATTCTAAAAACAAACAAACAAACAAAACGAACAAATAAAGTCCACCTTATTCCATCTCACCAGTTATACTGCTAATCTCTGGTGCACCAGGAGCCCCTCCTACCTGACCTGCTCACCTGCTTTTCACAGGTTCATCAGTCACCCTTTATGACCCCAAAATCTAAAAATCTCAGTATTTTTTGTCCTGTGTCGCTAGTTCAGAAGACAGGGCAAATTCCTTGAGTCCCAGTATTTTCTTTCATACTGTACACAACCTGGTATACCTAGGTTGGTGATGTTAATGTCTATTGCATGGTGGTTTTAGCCACCTGAGGATTATATTGTCTATGATAACAAAAAGTGTGGCATTTTTGTCTTGACACCATTTAACCTTTTGTTGTGGTTCAGATCCTTTGCAGAGTGGTTCAGTTAGCATAATTGTTTCTTACCCATTTTATGATCAATTTATCAGTAAATTTATTAGGTCTTACAGGCTCTTGATTAGAATCTATACCCAGTTAATGTTCAGTTATAGGATGTTAAAAATGAGTGTATGCAGACAAGGAAAGACTAAAGGGTAGGAAATGATCTCATGAAGCTTTTATTGGTGGGAAGCAGGAAAGAAAACTGCGATGTAACTCACTGAGAGGTACTTGACATACTGTTGCTGGCTTTGAAGGGAGCCGTGACCCAGGGAATGCAGGCAGCCTCTGGAAGCTTAGAACAACTGACCTACAGCCAGCAGGAAAACAGAGACTTCAGTCCTACAACCACAGGGAACTGGATTCTGCCAACAACCTAAGTGAGCCTGGATAGATTCCTCCCCAGAGCCTTCAGAAATGAAGAGGGTTTGGCCAACACTTATTTCAACCTTGTGAGACTCTAAGCAGAGAACCAGCTGAGTCACAGCTGTGCTTGGATTTCTGACCCATAGAACTGGGAAGATAATAAATGGGTGTCATTTTAAGCTGCTAAATTTGTATGACAACAATAGGAAACTGAAACAATACCTGTTAACAGACTGAAGTGTTATTGAAATTTACAGACTAAAATTTTTCATTTAGTTCTTAATTGAATAGCAACAATAGAATATCAGTTCAGTTTTGTTGAGGGACTGCCTTGCCTCCACCTATTTGGGGCCTGCATCATGGCACTTTAGAGAGTAGTTTCGTTTCCTTCCAGTACCTTAAATGTTGATTTTTATCAAGGAAATCTTCATGTAGAGTGCTACTTCAATCATGACGATCAGACCATCCTGGTCAACCTCAGATGGGTCTGAATCAGCGATTTAGAAGAGAAGTTTATTCTGAGATGATATGAAAAGAGAATTGTCAATTTCTTTTTCTTAGACTGTAAACTGTTTAGAGCCAAGGGCTCTACAGTGCTCATCTTTGTATCATCTGCAGGGCCTGACATAGTATCATCTGTATATAAAGATGACCAATAGTTTTAAGAACTGAACTGCTTAAATTGTGGAGAACCTTGAAATCAAGGGAGGAAATGGCATTTAGATATGTTTGTGGCTATCTGAACACGTTTACGCACAGTATGTGATCATCTGCAACCAACCTGCCGTAACTGACACTGCCTTGTAATAGCAGATATTACTTAATTATTCATTCTAAAGTGAATCACTTGTATGAGCACAGAAAGCAAGCCTGTGTATCCAAACTGAAAGGAATATAAAATGTACTAGATGATAGAATTTGGATTTTAAAGATCTCCCATCACCCGTGTCTTCAAATGCCTCTTCCTTAACCCCAGATATGATTTAATCTTCTTGCTAGACGTACCCACAGCACCCTATTTTTGGTAACACTCATTATATTTTAATTGCTTGTTTAATACCTATCTTTCTAAACAAGCTCCACAAAGTTAGGGATCATATCTCTCTAGTTCAGTACCATAATTTAGCTAACATAAGATTTGATACATAGAAGGTGTCCTCAACAATATTTAAAAATTGAAATTGGTTAGTAACACCAGGGGAATTTGATGATGGGAGGAGGAAGAGGGGGAGGTAAACCAAAGGAAGGCTGGCAGAGGGTTAATTTTAACGGTGGCGTGTTTAGAGAAAAGATGGGCTTGGCTGGTATTTCACTGTGGCTTTCTGGAAAACCAGAGGGCACCACGGTGAAAAAGTTTGCCTGGGGGAAGGGAATATCTGATTATATTTTGCCATTCTGCAGAGGTCTCTGATGGTGGCTGTACCCTCCTGATGGTAAAGTCATTTCGGATACCATGCAAACATAGGATTATCAACACACATGGTGTTTGGTTCTCATGGAATTTGGGGCAAAAAAATCTGTCAGTGATTTCTGTTTTACAGCTCTCTCTCTTTCTCTGTCTCAGTTTTGTGCTTACAGAGGAAATGAAGGAACCAGATGATCAGGATACTGATGGGGGAAAATCAGATAGATCAAAGAGTGATGAAAGGCAGTCTCGGTCCTTTAAATCTGCAACAAGATGTAAGTAAAGATTATAATTTACACTTGGGGTCTTTATTATTAAATTCAGGTAGAATAATTTTTAAAGAATACATATCTAAGTTTATATGACAGAATGATGTTTACGCATTTAATTCCCTTACTAAACCTTAAGTTCTTTAAGAGCAGAGTCTGTGTTTCAATCATTTCATCTCTAACTCCTGGAACACAGAAGGTACTATCATCTCTGTGTTGATGATGACCTATCTTCACATCTGGTCTGGCTTTCTCCTGTAGGGTCTACAAAGTCTTTAATGGACTTCTCTTATACCAGTCTAGTGGAAAAAAAGAGCTGGATTTCAGTTTTGCGTCCTGGGTCTACCACTTTGAGATGTTTGATCTTGGATAAATTATTTCACCTTTCTAAGCCTCAATTTTCTCACCCATTAAAATGATAATTGTGAGCTGTTTGAAGATTAAATTGGATGACATGCATGGAAGGATATCACAGAGTGCAGATGGAAGGGGAAGTGAAGGATTTTTAAGATTAATAATTTTTAATAATTAATAAGATTTTAGAAAGATGGCTGCCTTTTTCTGACTGAACATCATGGTGTTAGGTAGCCTGGTGGAATCTTGACTTTTTTAATTCTAATCCTAAATATAGTTTCAGAAATACAATTTTTACTATCCAGGTACAGGAGAGAGATCAGGTCCTAGGGAAATCAATTCATTTACAAAATTTACATTAAATTCTGTATGGTTACCAAAGGGGAAAGGTTTAGGGGGAGGATAAATTGGGAATTTAGGATTAGCAGATACAAACTACTATGCACAGAATAGCTAAACAACAAGGTCCTACTGTATAACACAGGGAACTATATTCAATAGCTTGTAATAACCTATAATGAAAATGAATACAAAAAATAAAATTTATATGTAGAACTGAATCACTATGCTGTACAGCAGAAACTAACACAACATTGTAAATCAACTATACTTCAATTTAAAAACAAATGATTTATTCTCCTTTATCTGTGTTCACTGCCAATTCCTTTATCAATGATTCTCTCATTCTCACTGGCAGTCTTAACTCATCTAATGGCAACTCGAAATCTGTTCCCAGGGGAAAGTCGCAGACGAAGCGTTAAGTTTTTAGTGTTGAGGTGGGGAAATAATCTTTGCTTGGGATGGTCACAAGAAAGACCTAAGATACCTGTTAAATGGTGTTATTGGAGGGTAGTTACCCAAGGCTCTCCCTTGGGGGAATTCAAGCAGTGGGGCCCATTTAGGTGCCCAAGATTATTTTTTTTTCTATACAAATACACGAATCCTACAGAACCGTGTCCTGTTGTCTTGCTAATTGGCTTGGCTTAGCTTTCCCACCTCATCTATGTTAGTCTTGGGCCTTATTCCTCATCTTTTAGCCTCGTCTCAAATAGATCTAGTCGGTGGTTCTACTGTTTCTGGCATACTTACCATTTCTGCCTTGTTCTCCTGAAAGTTCACCCAGCCCTTATGCCTGCTTGACATGGTATATTTGAACCATACCCATGTTTGGACTTGATCTGAATGTTGGCTTATACCTAGGTCTGTTCTACTCCCATTCCAACTCTCTTTCTCTTCTAGCTTATCCTGAAGCAAACAGTCTAACTTATTCCTGTGATATCACTCAGAGATAGTCATACCCAGACAAGTTTGTTCTTGAATGTGCATTATTTATCTTTGACAAAAAAGGTCCTTATAAATAATAAGTTTTGGTCAAATCAAATTGAATTAAAAAAATAATAGCAGTATACTTGACCAATCTTCTTTTCTTTCTATTTTATTTTCTTGTAAGTGGAAGTGGACTGGAAATGAAGTGAAAACAGAGATTAACTCACAGGAAAAGCTTTGAAAAATTTTTGTAAAGTTATGAGTGACCAAATAAAATGATTTTTGTAGGGATTTTTGAGCTTAAAATTCATTCAACTTAGAACACAAATGAATTGGAAATATTAGCTACTTTGGAAATAAGAAAATATTTCATTAAAATTTAGAAATTATTAAAACAAAGGATTTTTAATAGCTGCTATGAAAGAGGATTACAAATCTTTGGAAGATACCACAGATGAAACATTTACTGAAGGGGAAGAATCATATTCAGGGGACAATGACTCATATATGGAACATTTGGAAAGAAGTTCAAGTTCACTTCAAGATGATTATGCAGAAAGCACTGGTGGTAAGTATTATTAGGTTTTTTTTTTAAATCAGTTCAGTAGTTGTCACTGTTTTAAAGACAAATTGCCCAAACTGAACAGTTGTAAATCCATTAAAAAAAATTGCAAGATATGTGGGGGTGATAAAAGATAGAGCATCAATCCTATGCTGATAGGGTGGTTTAGCAGCTCTGGGGTTGGCTAGTCTATTTCTGAGGATCACATACTCTCATGCTGGGTTTTCCTGGGGAGTGGAGATGGTCTAAAGAGTGATCTACCCCAGATTAGTGAGAACAACTCTGTCTTGGAACTGACTGGGAACTGTTCTTTGGGACTGCTGGGATCATGAGCAGGGCTCAGCATTCACCCTGATGCACACAGGTGTGTGCCTCGGTGCCCATGCTCATTAGTGGGTGGCATCCTATGTTTGGGCCAGTAGTCGTAGTTACTGCTGGAGTAAGACAGACTGGGTACATTGCTCCCGTCTTCATGAAACATGATTTTAGGATTGAGCAGACACTGTTCTTAGTTAAAACATTTTAACTTTTTAGAATCTCGGTATATGGAAACTCCTGTCCCAGCTGCAGAAGAGGCAGAGGAGGAAGTTAAGAAGAAAATATCAGAGAGCTTCTTCTACGATTATATGGAACTTGTTTCGATGCCTTTTGTGACTCCGGATTCAAACATACCACTGGATCTTCTCACACTTGTGTATCCACTCCAGTTACATACGTATAGTCTTGGAATTTCAGCTTCTTAGGTCAGGGGTTGGCAAACTAGAGCCCATGCACCAAATCTGGCCCCTGGCCTTTTTTCCTAAATAAAGTTTTATTGGAACACAGCACTGCTCATTCATTTACCTTTTGTGTATGGCTGCCATCACACTGCAAGGGCAGATTTAAGCAGTTACAACAGAGACCATCTGACCCACAAAGCCT